TCCCCCCCCCCTCTCTCTCTCTCTCTCTTTCTCCTCCTTCCTCGACCCCCTCTCTTTCTTTCTCCCCATCAATCCCAACCTCTCGTCCTCTCACACCCCCCCTCTCTCCCTCCCTAACGTTCTCTCTCTCCCTAACGCTCTCTCTATCTCCCTCCCTAAATCCCCCTTCTCCCCCCCTCTCTCTCTCGGACCCCATGACCCTTGTGGTGACACAGATATACAAAACAACACCGTTTCGATATATATGTAATCCTAACCGAGTACGTATCTATCAGTTCTGTTTGAGATATGAGACAAAAACTTCCTAAGTTAACTAGATCTAAGTAGCGCCGATGGTCAAATTTTCTTTTTTTCTTTTTTCTTTTTTTTTTTTGTTGGTAAGAAAGCAGGAAGCGATTTTTACATAATGGCGCATAAAGTATTTTAAGTAGGAGCAAAGGTGGTTTAAAAAGAACTCTTACTGGAGAAACTTACGGAAGAGGACCAAATTAGTTTAGTTTTGATAAGTGTTTTACGGCACTTGCAACACAATAAGGTTCTATAAGTAACAAACACAAGAAAGAAGGAGGGGAGATAGCGACGATAGATTTTTTATGGGAAAGAAGGAGCAAACCACACCAGAGCACCCGCCAACCACCCACCGAGAAGTTTGCTCAGAACAGAGACGGGTGGGGAAAGATCTTGGCGGTCTATACCCGTCCCAATGTCAGGGTGCAAGAGGCAGATGATGACGTGACCTAACATGCTGATGCCTCTTCCCCCCCCCCCCCCAGGGCAGTGCTGCTGACTGAAGTGTCTTTAGGCCGTTCCCAAAAGGGGGGGGGGGGGTATTAACATGTTTTTAACAGTAGAATTGTAAACTGGCTGATTTATCAATGTCATGCTCATACTGTGCCGGAACAACATAAAGGGAACGGCTTCTTTTTCTTTTCTCATCCATATTATCTTCAATTTTCCTCTACTACTTTTGTATGTTTGTCACACTCTTGCGACCCGCTATTTCCGGGGTGCCTTGATAGTCGAAACAGACTTTGTGCTGCTGAGGTTAGAGAGGTGAACAGAGTAAGCCTGATTCTCCGTTTGGACTTCCCTGTTGGCATCCACCCCTTGGCGCTCATATGACCTTATGCAGTTGCGAGTGCCGTAAAAACTTACTAAAAACAAGTTTACAATCGTAGCCAAACGCAACATGTACGTCAAAATTTACAAAGCAACATACCATATACGTCAAAGATCATTGAGCAACACGTACCACATACGTCAAAGTACGTTGAGCAAAACGCACTATATACGTCAAAAATCACTAAGCAACACGTACCAAAAACGTCAAAATTAATTGAGCAAAACGTACCATGTACGCCAAAGTTCATTAAACAACACGTACCGACAGGTCGCCAGTCCAGAAACTGGAGTCCGGCCGTCCTCAGATGGTGATGGGCCTGGTGGTATAGATCTACGTGAGACGAGGGGAGACCAGCTCCACTGAGCCGCGGGACGGTCGAGACCGTGTATCTGTCTTTGGCAACCAGGCCCGGGCACGACACGACGGGCGCCGGCCCCAGGGGGTAGGAGGGAGGCGGGAACACTGACGTGAGGACCCCTGTGGAGGCCAGGAGGGTCTGGAGGTCCGAGTCTCTGCTGGTGGCGGCAGGAAGGGCGT